GAAGAAAATTTTACAAAACCATGAGATCGCCATATGTTATAGAAAAGGGGACAAGTTCCACACTCCAATACACCAACCCAGGTTAAGATTCAGGCTTGTCTGCCACTTATCAGTTGTATCAACTTTTTTTTTTAATCGTATGTGCATTTATTTATTTCTTTGTTTGTTTGTGGTAGATTTTTATTTTTTTTTTAATTTATTTATTTTTATGGTGACATTAGTTAATGAAATCCAATAAGTTTCAGCTGTACACTTTAACAGTAAGGCATATATAAGTTTATACTGTGTGTTCACCTCCCATAGTTAGAGTGATTACCAGAGTGTAGGGGATAAGGGAGAGGGGAGGCAGAAGGGCTAAAGGGGGTCAAATATGTGGTGACAGATAGAATATATATTGTAGGGCCTTTACTTGGGTCTTTCAGCAGAGAGTCCTGAGATTAATAGTTAGAAGCAGTCACTTCCAAGGGGATTTTGGAGGACAGCATTGCAGGCCAAGATTGTGGGGCAGTTTCTCTACGACCACAGGAAACCAGCTGCATCCTCCTGAGGCCCCTCAAAAGCTGGTCATCTAGCTAAATGTGTACAGCAGTTGGTTGTGGTATGAGAGGTGAATTTGGATTTTCTTGGATAATAAATAAATGGAATGTTCCCAAACCTTTGGGGAAATAGTGAGAAGTTGTGAACTTCAAACAAAATGGGCAAGGAAATTTGATCCTTAGGGAATAAACATACATGTGTCCAAAGGCCAGATCTCAAGTAGCTTCCTCAGTGGCTTCAAGCCAAAGTTAGAGAGCATGATGAACTTGGGGTAGAGGCAACTTGAGTCAATGCAGAGGACAGTTAAGAAGTGTATCACTGCCATGTTTCCCTCAGGGCTTTTAGAAACTAGTAGTATTTGCACAGATGTTGCTGGTGACTGGAAAGTGCAAGCTACTTGACTTGGCCACAACAGGTTATGAAATGCCGTAAGACAAAACAATGCTGGAAAAGGTTTTTACAAATAGGAGATTACAGTGCAAATTAAAAATAGTAAATCACAATATTTTTTAACTACAAGTAATAAATTACAGTGAATTTTCATTCGGAAGCCACCTGTTTAAAAGGCCTTTTTAAAATTTGGAACTTGAGGCCAGCTCCCTAAGCAGGGTCTACAATATGGGGAAATGAAGCCACAGTCCAGTTATATAGTGAGTCATTGACAAAGCTGGGAATAGAACCCAGGACATCTGCTTCCCAACATGCTGCTTTTAACTACACAATCCCATTGCCTGCTTAGTGAACTCTCAGCAGATAGAGTCTCCTCTTCGTTGCAATGCCTTTCGTGGTGCCTAGCACCCAGTGGGTGCTCAACAAATGCTTGTCGATGAGGCGACTTCCAACCTCCTTTTCTGATAGCTTTCATTTCTTCCTCTAGGTTCTAGCAGCCAGGAGATGCTGTCTGAATTGAGGACACTGTCTCAGAAACTCAACAACAAAAAACATCAGTCCAGGAAGCAGAAAGTGAGTTCAGTGAGGACAGTTCTGCTGGTCCAGAGAGAGAGACCTGCCGGGGAAGAAGAGGAGCCCTTGTTGCTGCAGAGGCCAGAGAGAGCAAAGACTCTGGAAAAGTTAGAGGAGCTGGGCAAAGAAGGCTGCTTTCAAAATAAGGAATGTCCCGGACCTGCGTTAAAAGGGCAGCAGTTGGAGCGGAACCCAGATAATCAGCCTGGTGCCCCCAAGGAGAAGAAGAGGAAGGAGCAAATGATTGACCTACAGAACATCCTAACCACAAAATCTCCTTCCGTGAAGTCTTTGGCAGTCCCCACGACAATAGAGGAGTTGGTGAGCAGAGCCAAGGTCATGGGCCATGTGGGAAATCAGAGCTGTGGAGAAAGTACCCTTCTTGCACAAAGAATAGAATCAGTGAAGTTTGGTTTTGCTGGGAGCACATTTCAGTAATTGAGAAGCCCAGAATAGTATGGGGCCAGACTGGCCTCAGTGACAGATAGATGCAGATCTGTGAGTGCTGCTGAGACTCCCACGTCTTAAATCCGGAGCCACCAAACCCTCCCTGTGGTGACTCTAAAACTGCCCTTAGAGGAAAAGGAGGCACTGAAATCTCTGACAAGATCCCAGGCAGGACAACTCAAGAATGAGTCATTGAGCTCTTGCTAAGGTTTTGTTCTACTCACTGGGATCTCAAGTGGTCGAGGACTCCCTGATTAAGTACTTGAACTGCTTAAGTGAGGAGCCCTGGCCCCTGTCTTCTCAGTGCTATAAGCTGGAGAGTGCCTGCATTCTAGCCAGGGCACTTAGAGCTCCTCCTAACACAGGCCATTCATTCCTCCACCCTGCAGCTTCCTTACTGAAAGTTTAAAAATGTCATATGATAATGAGCTGGGGATATTTACCCTAGAGAGAAGAAAACTGGAGCATGATTGGCTACCAAAGGGTTTGTATTGCAAAACTATCATCATTCTGCGCTTTCCCCCTAGGGGGCGCTAAAATGTCACAACCTGAAATTCAAGCGTTCTTGCCGCGAACCACGGCTCCTAAGGCAAGCCATAGCTACAGAACCTCCTAACCACAAAATCTCCTTCCCTGAAGACTTTGGCTGTCCCCACGACAATAGAGGAGCTGGTGAGCAGAGCCAGGGATTTGGGACCATTGTGGGAGATCAAAGCTGGTACAGAAAGTGCAAGAAAGGAGATTTTGTGGTTAGGGTTCTGTGGCTCATTCTGTCCCCCTAAAAGCCCCCTTCTATGTTCTCACTCTTGTTTCTTCCCAGGAAGACGAACAGGAGAGAGATCAAAAGCAAATGATAAAAGAAGCTTTTGCTGGGGATGATGTCATTAGAGACTTCTTGAAAGAGAAGAGAGAAGCTGTGGAGGCGAGTAAGCCAAAGGACATGGACCTGACTCTGCCTGGCTGGGGCGAGTGGGGTGGTCTAGGCCTGAAACCCAGTGCCAAGAAGAGATGCCGGTAAGAATAGGGAAGAAAGCCTGTCAGAAGGGCACCAGGTTCTCCCACCTCACTCTCATACACCCTCCCTGCCCTTTTGACTAAGTCTTTAATGCTCTTAGATGTCTTGCTGTTCTGCTTTCCAGGTTTCTCATTAAAGCCCCTGAGGGTCTTCCAAGAAAAGACAAGGCTTTGCCAAATGTGATTATCAACGAGAAGCGAAACATCCATGCAGCAGCTCACCAGGTGAGGGGTGGAGAATTCTTTAGCTGCCTCCTCATGCTGCCCAGCTCTCTTGCTTGGGAGGAATATTCTAGTGCTCTGTGGTCAAGAGAGATGTGTGATCTTGACCACAGAATCAAATATATTTTTGTTTTTACTGACTGGCTCTGAGATGAATAATTCCAGATCGACTCTGCTGTTTGAATTACCGACTAGGAAGAAAGTTAAGACTTTTAGGATAATCTTTGCAGCAATGGTGAGGCCCTCAAATCTGCATTTTCAACTAGTATCCCAGATAACACTGATGTAAATAGGTCTCACCAAATGAGGAATTACTGTTCTTAAGGCTGGTATTTATAGTCAAGGTAATATGCAGAGGCTATAAGGTTTGAGCTGCATCTTAAAGAAAACAAAGACAAACGGATACTTGTTCAGCGTGTTGTACCCAAAAGAAAAGTAGATTTGAGCAGGATCGAGTATAGTGAAGGCTGTCATGTGGAGTCACATAAAGTAGAAGTTAGAGGAAAGGCAGAGTTCAATTCAAGGAAAAATTTTCTGCTGGTCTAGAGAGAATGGATTGCTCTGGGGGTATGAGCATGTGTAGAGGGCTCAGGAATAAGATTAAACTCAATGACCTTTATGTTCCCTTCAATTCTGAAAGTCTGTCACTCTAAGATCTGTCCCCAGGCAGTATAATATTGAAATGAGCTATATTTTTCCTTCAGAAAAAGTGGGGGGGGGGGAAGGGACTATTTAAAAGGTACAAAAGAGAGGTGAGGAAATAACATTTCATTTTTTCAAATCTTACTGATTTCATTTTGTGACCCAATAACTACAGAAATTGAATTGTAACCACTGTAATCCCAGTTGAGGCTATAAAACCAGAAAGCAGGCAATGAACAGGCAAGTATGGGATAAGAGAGAGAAAGGAGATACTTTACCAGGCCAAGATTCTAGGTGAAGGGCAGAGTGTAGACCTCAATATAGATCACCCTTCCCTTCAAGGGTATTATCTATTCGTTTTTTAATAGAGTCACATAGCAAACTGACAGTTTTCCACAATCTCCCGTGATTTTCCACATCTTTGTAATAAGCTATAGACTGCAGGTCTCAGCGTGCAATAGAATAAAGTGTGCTAAAGGGAGAAAAAAAAGACCTTCCAAGGCTGAATACTCTGTCCAAGTTTTTTTTTTTTTTCTCGCCGTAGGTGACAGGTACAAATTTAGCTACCAACCCAAAGGGAATCTGAGCCCTTCAGTACCACCAAGACCACCTGGCAGTACTCAGCTTCTCTTGAGTGTTCCACTGAATATCTCCAAATAACTGATTGTAACTTCCCTGTTTTTCTGCTTACATATTTTTCCTCCTCTTTGGCCATTGAGGAAGTGTTTAAAGATTATTTAAGTGTCTAAAGGTATTGCTGTGGTAGAGTGGGAAAGAATACAGGCCAAGGAAAGGAGCCTGGGTTCTGTTCTCCCTTGCTGCTCCTAATTTTCTTGGGTAAATCACTTAGCCTTTCTAAGCTAAACTCTGGGGCTAAGGTAGATGACCTTTGCCATTATCTAGGGCCTTCCAGCTCTGACAGTCTATGATGCCAAAAGAGGATGAAGCTAATTAAGTATGATAGCCTGGTAGAGTTCAGGATTCAGGAAGCAATCTTTGGGTTCCTTAAAACATCAATCCTGTGTATCAAGGAAAGGAAAAGAAAGTATGGAGAGGTTAGGAGGGCCATAAAATCCACAGGAGTACACAAATGCCTGGGTGTTTCTTACAGTCACAAGTCACAAGAAGAAGGTTGTGTAGATGACCAACTTGGAGACAGCAGCCCTGGAGCTACTATAGTGTTCCCACAGCTGCAGGGCTAGTGTCGGGGTGGTTTTTTAATCTCTAGATTATTGGATAAGCCTGTGGAGAGGGGTGTCCTAAATTCCAATTAGGTTCCTCTACTCCCAAACGTCCTTACGCACATTAGGATTCCTAAGGTTAGATGGGGGCAATGGGATGCCTTGACCTCTCAGTAGCTTTACTCACTGCTGCCATCATGTAATACTGTAACCTGTGTGCCAAAACTACCTGACCAGTTGCCTAGCATATACCTAGTCACTCTGCCTTCCTCTCCAGGTGCGGATGCTTCCATATCCATTCACCCACCACCAACAATTTGAAAGGACCATCCAAACCCCTATAGGATCAATGTGGAACACCCAGAGGGCCTTCCAAAAGCTGACTACACCCAAGATTGTCACCAAGCCAGGCCATATCATTAAGCCTATAAAAGCAGAGGATGTGGGCTACCGGTCTTCCTCAAGGTCGGACCTCTCTGTCATACCGAGGAATCCAAAACGACCCCGCTCTAGGTCACAAAAAACAGCTAAAGAAAAACTCTAAAGATTGAGTTGCTGGAGGAGTGACGTCTTGGTGGCCAGAATCAGGAGCCCTAATTGCTTCTCCATTGGCCGTTTTACTCTGAGCTGCAGGATCAATTCAAAACTGGCTTAGCACATGATGGGTATAGTTAAGCAGCATTTTAAAAATAAAGGCTTTTTAATCTATTGAACTAGAGTGTGTTCTGTGTTGTCTCCCAGTTGAATCATTTTCAAGTCAAACACCTTTGTATTTCTTCAGATGTACTTGTCAGGGGCACCTCATTTTCTTACCAAGGATTGTGTTGTCTTCTAAATTGGAGTGGAGAGAAGTTATCCTAGTTTATAATCTTAAATACATCACATCAGACATAATCTACCACAAATAACCAATTTTTTAGGCTCAGAGATTGTAACTAATTATTATATATGCTTAACCTCTGAACCTGGAAACAGCATACACAAACCATGCAATTGGATTCTGCCCTATGCTGATCCTGATGGTACTAAAGCTAAGTTCAGCTTTAAGTCTAGCCATTATCATTTTCTTTACGTGTGCGAGCCTCTGGGGCATGCACAGGTAACTGTCTTACAGAAGCTAGCATTTATTTTCTCATTCTTAAGACAGTGCAGATTTTACTCCTACTTTATAGTTGAGGTAGATGAGCTCTCGGAAGTAAAGCTCTATCACCTAACTCAGGGCCAACTCTTCCCCATTGATTCAAAGCATAGTTAATTCAAGCTTTAATTTGCACTATGGCAGACCACTTGGGTTTCTCAGCTCTGAGGAACCTACCTTTCTTTAAATGACATATATATAGACAAGGCCTCTGCAGCTGAGAGTCCTAACAAGAAATCAGAGAAACCCCTCCTGATTCCAAAACGACATACCACTATTGCATTTTACTTCTTGCCTTGGAGGTTGGTGCTCCCAGATTTTTTACACCAAGATGGGGGTTGATTTTGTGTGTCACAGACCCCTTTGAAAATTTTACGAAATTATGAACTCTCCCCAGAAAAATGCACAAACATACACCATCTTATATACAGTTTGAAGAGCTCTGCAGACATTTGTAATTCCCGGGTCAACAGCTTTCTTTTGCAATTCTCCCCACCAACACGGCCCTTTTTCCAAGCACACCACTCTCCAAATCAGTTCCAAAATGTTTAGACCTCCAATATAACTAGTCCCAATTCCTTTATTTTATACGCAAAAGATTTCAGAGTAGAGTACTCCAGTGTTACACATTAAATTAGAGGCTGAGTAGGCACTAGGACCCTAGACTAACTCCAAAGCCAAAAGCCACGCCATAAATTTCTATGAAATTCCCCGTGGTAGCTGTGGGCCCCTATTACCATTGTTCATCCTCTCAAGAACCAGCCTTGGGATGGGAAGGGAAATAAATACGTTGATCATGTTCAGAACCCAAAGGGCATTTTAAAGTTATCCATTGGTTTGAGATTATATGAGATCCACTTGCTAGTTGACACTTAAGTCAGTGGCCAGTGGAGGCGTAGATAGGGAAAGCCTGTCCACTCCTGCCTCGGTTTAAGAGAACATAACCCCTTCACTCTTTTGAGAATAAAGCTGCCACCTCCGTCCCACCCACCTCTTCCAAACTGAAGCGGCCAATCAAGTGCCCCCGGTAAAAGGCCCATCCTTGTCTACTTTCCCCGGACCCTCCTCAGCTCCGTGTGCTCCCCGCGTCCCACGAGTGATGCAAGCGACCCCATCCTTCAAAGGGGAGGGTAGGCACCAGAACGTGCTGTAAACGACGCCCACTCCTAGCTTTCCAAGCCCCCAAACGGATTCGATTGTTGTTTCGTGGGGCTTTTTTTTTTCTTTTCTTCCTCCGAACCTCCGAAGTGTTCTCCCTCCCCATTGGCCGAAACTGCCCCTTTACGCCACCCCGGCCTTGCTTGCTGATTGGTCCATTCTGGATGTGCCCAAGCCTTTTTCCCAGGGTGTGGCGCCCCCCCGCCCCCAACAGGGTTTTGACCCCCTAGCTCCTCCCTTCCCCCCAAGGCCCCCCTCTCTGTTCCAAATGGTACCGCCCTGGCTCAGCTCCCCTATGGCCCAGGCCGCTGCCCTTAGGGCCCCCGGACGGGGCGGGGCACGCTGAGGACGGGCAGAGGGCGGTGGTGGCGCCTTCCTGCCGAGCCCAAGGCCTCTCCCGCCACCCTTCTGCAGCCCTTGTAGGTCCTACTTTTTCTGGGGCAATTTTTAGTTCTGTCTAGGTAGCCCCGTCCCGTCTGTGCAGTCCCCACCGTGTTCTTTGGGTCGTCCCTATCAGTAACGTTAAATCCCAGCCCTCAGCGTTCCACACACGCCCATCCGCCTCCGTTCTCGGGTCCTCGCTGCACTCTCTTTCCCATGTCTGCTCACTCTTCCCTTCCAAAGCCCGCTGAAGCCCCCTGGTTCCCTTCCTCGCGAACTGTACATCCCTAGGATCCCCTTCCTATGTGTGGCCGTTCCTTCCAGCGGCCTCCCTTTCGAGGCCTCCCCTCCCCTTCATGAGCGGAGTGGTGGAGCACTCCTGGCCATCCCCCCTCTCCATACGCGCCCCCGCGCTCCCTTCTGCTGTCCCTTCACGTCCCTAAGTCCCTCCCACACCGTGCCCCCCCCCGCATACATGCCCCTCCCTCCTAGGCGTCCTCCGGTGCCCCTCCCTTACCCCCGGCTAGTATAGGGCCCTCCCACCCACC